TGGAAGGAACTTGAAAAAAGAATTCTCGTTGTCATTAAAAAGCCTTTAAATGAAGCCTGTTTTGATGCAAAAATATTTTAACAGAGAGGGATCTATATCTGATGAAAGTTAGACTTAATTTCAACCGTACAAAGAACAATTTTCTTCTTTGGTTCTTAATTTCAAAATGTGGGTCCTCTGTGTTAAGAGCTCCTAGAATCGAGCCGCTGGAGCTGAAGGGCTTTGCAGGATTTCTCTACAAATTATGTCAAGGTTGACAATAGTTTGTCAAGCAAATAAGGCCGAATACTACCGAATGTGCTTCTCCTCAGGTCGCCATTTATTACACCGAACTGTCTCAGTTATTCTAAGCGAACATACATACATATAGTACAAATATATTTCTTGGATAAAAAGTTCTCGCAGTCGACCCTCAGTTGTTTGATCAAAATCATGAAAGATAGAGCGCTGGCTCATATGAGCATCAACTTTCAGATATCTATGGTATTACTCTTGCGACGATCCGCTGCTTATCTGTGTTAAAAGACCGCAGACGGTTTAACTGTATACGATAAGAGTAAATCAAAGCTTGGAGTTTATTTTTTTAATACGATTGGCTATATATAAGCCGAGTACCATTGGTACTCAAGTTATCCGTCGTTAGTAGCCTTTTTACTTTGGCTTTCCTCCAACGAATTCTGTTGCTCGTCGCAAAAGCTAGCGCCCGTTACCTCTGAATGTTGAATATCAAATAGGCAATCCTGGACCATGCGATAGCATCTTGCTGATCGCAGTTATGGTCTGAAGAGGCGCCGACACAATAGCGAGTTTGCGAAGGGCGTATATCCGTAAAAAAATACTGATACACAGCTGTATGCCCGATCAATTTGGCTACGAGAAGTTCGCTCGTTGACGCAATTTGACCAAGCACTGTATAGGATGACGATGTCTTCTCATTATTTCGTATAATAAACAGTTCTACTAAGTATTCTGTAGCGGTATCGTTCGTGCGGATAGAGACAGCGGAACCGCTATTAGCTGAATCAGTCATTGTTTTCCTATAGAAGAGCCAGACAGATAGAGCACTAGCCTTGTTCTTCACTTTCTGCCATATTACGCTATTCGACGCCTGAAATATTGTTAATAGGGTGCGGAACGAACACGCACAGAATCAGACGCTGCAAACAGGGTGTATTGTTGATTGTCCCGTTGGTATATTTTCGTATGGTAAAATTTTTGATAGCGATGCCTTTCAACATGTTCAACAATCATCGGCGTAATAAGTTACCCTTCGCTGTCCTCTTTCACATTATAGCAACGTCGATTAGAAGTTCTAGTAGGCTGAACTTTAATAATAACTTGTCAGCGCTCAATGAGCGTGGCCGCATCGATTTGCCAATACAATTCTTTGGATCTGCTTTTTAATCAAGTTATTTTGGTACGAATCTGATCTGACTTACGAACACTTACGAGAAAACCTCAAAGCAAAAAACATATGTCTGGCCTTTACTGCTTCTAGCAAGATCAGTAATTAACCACCGTTGAAATTATACTATATGTACTCAAGTTGAATAGTGCCCAACAGATGTAATTAGTAGAAGAATTCATGAATCAGCCCGTAGGTAACATAAAGACCATTGTCTGTTAGATAATCTGTCTAGACGAATCGTGCCTAGTCGTACCTATCTATCCTTCACTCATACTTACGTGCAGCACGCTTATTTCTGACATAGCTTTTAGTCTGTGTTAGTTGACGCTAGCATTTCCACACAGTCTAACTGAAATAAAAGCAAAGCGTAACAGTATATTGATTAAAGGTAGAGGCGCAGTACACTATTTTCCTTAGGGCTCCTCAATTATTACACAGGTAACTAAGCGCATAGTTAATGACTCCGTACGTAAGGACAGCAATTAGGACAGCCATTTAGTAGTTACCGTTATCTAGTGTACACCGAACTCCTCTTGACTGACAGCCTAGCACGTACGATGAATGTAGTGGTAAATAGTTTGGTACAACAAAAAATTATTTAATATTTGAATTCAGGACCCCGCCGCCCGGTCCTATCAAGCAATGCCGCAGTCGACGGCCTGAGACAAAGACTCACTCGTCCACCGCGAACTAGTCCACTACTACGCAAAGTAAGGTATGACCTATAGTGCAACATTACCTACATTATAGAAAACGAATAGACTGATATCAGATAAACCAATTATATATATATATATAGTGGTAGACATTTTGTCAAAATCGCACACGGTCTGAAGACAATAGAAAATGTTTCAAATCAACTAATAGTGTTTTATTCCTTATTTGTCCTTCCATCATAAGTTGTTCGAACGACACGCGTCGTTCGCTTGTTCAATAACTATTCTCATTCTCCGCTATCAATATTATTTATCTATTTATTTCCACTAAATGACTACGTCCACTATGACGCCTATATATCCATATGTTTCATTAAAATCTTTCACAGTTCCCTTCTGCTTATCGGTCGTTTAGCCTTATGTCACGTCGCAATAGTAATAATAATAATAATGAGACCGCTGTTTCTGTTGGTGTTTTTTCCCCCATAATGTACACAATTATCGTTCATTAGTAATAGAGCTATATTCCTTAACGTTTACTAATCGAAAAGGTGAGCTTATGTCATTACTATAGACGGTGTTAGAAATAAGGCCGCATTGATATTCGTAAATTAGACATTGTATTGAAGGCCCTAAAAACGATTGGGTTATGTTGGCCTCAACGGTCAACGGCCTCACAGCGTCTTGTTCTTTACAGGGTTTTCGTCGTTCCGCTTCAACAATGCTCCGCAGTGTCCACCATTTTCGCCGCAGTTTCCCTACATTTTTCGTACAGTCTTCGAGAGATACAGGTAAACAAAGCTAACGTCTCAAAAACGTTTGATCGCTAATATACTGGCATATGCCCCACGATACGGAGTGCTCGTACACGGCTATCATCATTGCCTTCTCTGTTTTCATTTGGTACAGGTCATGTGGGCCATTCTGGGTAGGAAGTTCATTAACCACATCTTTTGAAGAAGTCATCAAAAAGCACTAGCGTACAAATATAGGTATTAGGTTCTCGAATCTATACACGTAGAGGAAACATACGACAGCAAATGGATGCACGTTTTCATCCCAACCTTTAATGACTCTATATAGCCATAGTCATATCTTGTAATTGCGCTTACAGTACTATTCTAAGCTCTTTCAGTAGTTTTCCCGCTCGATCATCCTTCTATTATCATAATTTATAACTTTTATGAGATATGCAACACGTGAATAAATATGGCCCTCTTCTTATCATTTTCAGTCTTTCCTTATATATATATATATATATATGTAACCCTGGATATGATGACCACTTAGGTGACTTTATAATTCCTCTGTTCTGATCTATAGGGCGTTTGGGAGAAGTTGGAATAAATTTTTGCGAAGTTTTTTTGTCGCGGTGGGCACGCGTTCGTCCGCTCTTCCTGAAATCTAAGGAAGGCCAGTTTTTTTTTAGAATAAAACGGCAAGCTAAACATGGCGAAACAAGCAGGTTCGTATTCATTAAGAGAGAATCAGTCATAACTGAACGTTTTCGAGAATCCATTAGGAGACAGAAAAAGCCCTTTCATGTACAGCTGGGTTAAAAGGGGCCTCGAAAAATTTAGGCGTACAAATGTGTTTTCAGTGGTTATTGACACTGACCCCAAATTGAAGCCTTAATAATTATGAAATGGCAGTTGTATTGAATAAGGATGTTTTTTTTCTTAGTGATAGGCGCACGGAAAAACTTGTTTTTATTTAGGCAAAGCACCAAACACCCTGCATATATGAGGTTACAATTATGTAAATGCTGCCGCCCTGTGTGGTCTCATCTGCAACACAGTTTTGCCGATATGCTGGCTTTAACCCTACGAACCGTAGAAGGGCGTAATACGCGTTGATAGCAGTATAATTTTACTAATTCCAAAATTATGTCGATCGTCACACGTTATTTTATGCAGCAGTAAACGCAGATTGGTTGTCATACGAAGCAAATGCAATATAACAAACAGTTGATCTGTGCTTATCAATATGTTTCAATGTATTCTTTTACTCCAATCCACATTCTCACCAACGACATCTTCACCCTGAAATATATTCGGTCTATATGCGTGTGTAAATGCGTACGTTGTATCATTTATATAGAGTATTCTACTCAGACGAAAGTATACTGACCTAAATTATCCTGTGTAGACCTTTATGTGTATGGACTGTATTAAGCATTAATTATAGTTAATAATTGTTTTTTGTGCAAATGAATGCTTATACGTGTTGATCTCAAGGTGGTGATATACCGCCTGTGCTACTGTTATAATACAACCTGAAATATTCTCCTTGACCTAATGGTCCATTCATGATCCGGGGTTCACTCGGCAATAGCTCAATACACAATAGAATGATGGGTAACCACGATATTTACTAAAGTTATGCTCCCCCCATCGCGGTACTCCCTTGGTTTTGATCTCCATTCACGCACATCTAGTATTCCATTATACTGATTGTGGGTCTACAAGCATTGATAATTTTAGGGGAGGTCAAGTTAACCCATCGGCACACGAAGGAAGAGTTTTTGTAGCACGACCCATTAAACTACAGGTAGCACCTGTCACAGCTTTGTGTGTCCTTCACTTCGTAGCCCTTTGCAATCTGTATAAGCTCAACCCAGTAAGAACTGTCGCTAAATATTTCATTCAAATCCTCATCGTTCTTCATTTAATGAATATTTACGACTGTTGTAACTATTTGTTACATTCAAATCATAAATAATCAGTATGATACGCATCACCAATATATATATATATATATATATATAATTAATGATCAATCAGTAAGCATTATTGATCATGTGGAAAAGTAGAAACTTGAAATATACACAGAGTTGGCAATACCATCAGGTCCTACTTAACCGGTTCGTTAAGACTTGGAATCCCGTCCGATTTTGAAAGGCTTTGACCGACGGACGACAGGAACGCACCGTCATGAGTTTCACCCTTGAAAGATGGCGCGAGCCGTTCTTTTCTAAGTGGTTCGTAGAGTCGCCCGATGCGGTTGGTTAATACGAAGCTGTCAAATATCGCTGTCATGTGTAGACCTTTTGTGGTTGCCATTTTGCTTGTCCAACTTTTCTCTGCCCGAACTCTTCCTTTTTGGCTATGTACAATGTGATCTCTCGTTGACTTTTTCCATTCATGGGATTTGCTCGTGTTTTTGTCCGTACTGTGTCTGTCGACCTAGAGTTCGTCAAAGCTACATACAAGAATTCCTCGTTACAGCACATTCAAAATTCTGTTGTCACTAATATCCCCCTAACTTGATAATCGACTAGGTCAAAGTTACTTAGTACATTTCGATTATGATGCCTTCAAGTTCGTTCTTGGAAAGCAAAAGATACCTTTGATCTAATCGCTTTAACTAAATCTTAAGTAGCTCTTATTGGCCCATTTCTCGTTAGAATTTACGTCTCTTTAGCTTGGCATAGATATGGATATGTCGGTCTTCGTCCTGCGGGTCGAAAGAAGCAGAAATACGACGATCAAGTTGGCGGATCGCATAATAGGTGTGTAAGCGTGTGCGTCTTTTTCTGCTTCTGTGTCCTTTTATGTGCAAACGCGTCTGTGCCGCTCTATGTCAATGTGTGAGTGAATGACGATTCCCCAGCGAGTAAGTCTTAATTAATAACCCCCATAGGACTCGCCGCGATCACCCTTGCGCCCCGGCCGACCCCGATTGCCAGGTTCGCCCTTCTGGCCTGAAATGCCAGGCAATCCCATTGGACCGTCTCGACCAGAAGCACCTGCAAAGAGGACCAGTGAAAAATATTACCCAGTCATTACCATAACCATCTTGTTCATTATATATATATATATAGAGAGAGAGAGAGAGTCCGGCATCGCACCCTTTCTCTACTACCTATTTTTATAACGTAGCTCTATCACGCCACAAACTTATGCAGTATTTGTCAATAGCTTAAAATAAAACGTGTTTTTTTAAGTATTACATTCATTATACAGTACAATTTTCCACAACATGATTTTATACAGCGCAGCCCTCGAGTGCAAACTTCAATCGATTTTAGCAAGGGGGCGCTGACGCATTATTCAAATTCACCGGTCACATGTTTTTATATTGTTGCTAGAGGTATGCTCTCTAGACCATTCAAGGTGGCAACGTATTCGTATCGCTTTTGCGAATGAAGCTACGAAGAACGTTCGTCTTCATTCCCGCGGACTTTTCAGCGTTAAGTCTATGCATGTGGTATTAATGCATCCAGTATTCGGACTGACCTGAAGATGAGGCTGTAGTCTTCGCAAGTGATGGATGACTTGAGTATATATATACATACCTGAATAATTATTAGGCAATGACTGTATTTTTTTGTGAAATAAAAAAGCCGACTAAATAGCTCAGTGATGTATCATTAGCATTATTACTATCGCTCTGTGGTTCATTTCACACACACCTTTCTCTCCTAAGTCTCCTTTTTCACCGGTGCTGCCTTTGTCACCTTTGACACCTGGTGGACCCTGCGGTCCTGGCGGGCCTGGTGGACCGGGCTGATATCCACCCATCATGTTATACTCACGGTCAAAACTGTCCGTGGCTATCATGCCTTGATGGGCAGCGTAGTGGGGAGGCGAATCTGACCCTCTAAACCACGAAAAAAGCAGGACAACAATGAGACGAAAGATAACAAAATCTAATTTTAAGTAAAATCATAGGTACTTATAGTTATGTATACGTAGGTAGGAACGTTGAAAAAGAATTGACTGTTTTTCCTGGTAGATGGTCTTCAAGCTACATAGCTCAAATAAAATAGAGCCTCGTCGGGTCAATACTAACGTCTTCTGAAAAGCCTGAGGTTTGGAACGAGTAGACGTATTAGGACTTCAGCATTTAAACTTAAAATAGAACACAATAGAAGAAGATAAGCGATTTATTTAATTTTAATTACTTACAATAAAAATCCTGCCTAGGCCCATGGACATACGTCTACTGTTTATAGTCAAAATGCATGATTAAAAGGAACAACACACAGGTGGCTCTATCACTTTCGGTTTGAAGACCTCGGTACGAAAAGTGCCCCTCAATGTAATAGACCTATATCGGAAAGAGTCCATATAATTGTTGCAAAAGTTAACAGCTACGGAGCTAAGTATCCACCACCAAACAAACAGTTTTAAATCATTTGAAGAAAAACAGCTACAAAAATCTGGATTGTCATTAAAGAGTAATATGCTTCAACTGATGCCAAAGGACGTGATGCTATCCTTTTGATGGGAAGGAATTGTGCAATGTGAGTTGTCACGGCCTGAAAACACTTGATCCGAATCACTATTGTCAGTGACATCCCAGATCACATACATTTTTAACTAGCGGGCAAAAATAAGCGAACTTGGATAGGACATTTTAATGCACCTGCCGTATAGCCTAGATCCTGTAGCATCACACTATCATCTCTGTCGGTCTCCGCAGAACTTCCTTATTGGTAATAATATAGTTTTAATGGAGGAATACAAGAGTCACCATTTTCTGTCCAAAAATCATAAAAGCTCTACGCTCTATGCTATTATCAATGAACATAGCAGGTGGCCATTGATCGATAGAGTGCTTATTTAATTTAATTATGTATACCTCAAAGTATAAAAATACTTGCTTGAATTTTAGCGGTCAATGCTTTTTCCACAGCCTACTGTATACGGTATATACGGTGAAGAGGCACATCAGGCCAAACAGAGCGTCGCATAAATTCGCTATGCTGCAAGTTAGTTCCTCTGATCATATAATGCAGACATTTTATCACGTAATAAAATTCGTTATATATGAATCTGTTACATTTTACTGTTACAGCAAGCAAAACAATGCGACTTTAAAACAACACAAACCTATCTCCTCGTTCGCCTTTTTTGCCTTGTGATCCGGGAAGTCCCGGTGGACCCATCATGCCCATATCACCTTTCTCACCCCGAGCGCCCTTATCGCCCTCCCTGCCAGGGGCCCCTGGTAGTCCGGGGGGGCCTTGGACACCCAGCTCGCCTTTGTCACCATGGCGTCCGGGTGCCCCTGGCAAACCGACATCGCCCTGATCTCCCTTGTCGCCTTTCTCACCCTTTTTGCCGGATTCGCCTTGTTCGCCTGAAATCGAATCCGAGAAACACCAAAGTATGTGGGCAAAGAAACAGAACAGAGGCAATGCGATAATCAGTGATAATATGTTAATCGAAAACATCGATCCTCTGTCGTAGAACTGGGCAAAAAGCAAAGATAGAGCGGTGGAGTCTAGATATAATCCAGTATTGATTTGATTTTGCTATCCGACAGGAGGAAAAACAAAATAGCTGGCACAATGGTATGAAACGGTTAGGTGCCTATTATAAACCCTTTGCTACATTATGCTAGCTACCTGATAACATCTTATAATTAGTATTAATGTTGTGTCCTGTAAATTCAAGTCCAGAAACATTAGCGACCACGAGTGTAAAGAAACTTAACACTATGTTACAATCTATAACAGATAACATAACTCATCATTGCTAGTTCAAGTATGTAACATTCTTCAGATAAACATGTTAATTTAAAAAAAGAGGATAGAAGACTCATCTTAATTTTACGGGACTACATTCAAGAAAGTAGTCTCGTAAAGTCTTTATAATGCAAAAATCCAAGCTCCTTATATCTTTCCATCAACATTGATTACAAAGTTATTAACTGGATTAAGTTACTAATAACTTCGAACACGTCTTGCAAAAAACATTATTGCTTAAAAATAAATTTAATCGCTGATAGGCGAAACTTGTAATATATTCACGTATGTGTCGGACAAAACGGACCGTATAAAATAATGAAGTTCTTGTGCTGCATCGAATCTCGGTCTTGTTCGATTTATCAGAAACTCTATTTCTCCGGTACTAGTTGTAACTCACTTTACAACACTAATAAACTGTTTATTCCTCCGTTTTTGTTTTTTCTCACAATGGTAAACGCAATGCGTTATTTTTGAAGTTTCGATTTTTCAAAACACTGTCAAGTTTTCGAGGCTTCAGTTATCTACTCTCAAGTAAGACTCACCCAAAAATCAAGGCTAATCTCACTAAAAAATTTATAGAAAAAAAAGTCTACCGTTTCAACTTATATTGCATATAACCAAACAAACTTTAACTACACTGAATTACAATATTCCACCTACGCCATTCTAGTTAAGAGGTGCTCCGCACGCACAACAACGTACGGTGTGGGTTAAATATAGATATGCACGGATTGAACCTATCTGTGTAGTGAAAAAAAGGAAAATCAATTCCCGCTAAGAACATATCGTGTCTTCATCAGGGTTTCGCAGGGTGGTTAACTTTCGCTATTAGTTGCTTGGGGCGGGAATAGGATTAGTTACAGGATCCCCCATCCACCCCAAGATTCAGCTCGGTAAGCTACAGCTTTAAAATAATCATTCGCTAACAATACAACAACTAAGATAGCACTGCACAGTTTGTGTGAATAAAGTTGGGCTTGAAGAAGAAGAAGAAGAAGACCCAATAGCAGTGCTTTTATAATTTACATTCTGTCCAACGGGCCCTAGTCACGCTAGTCACGATAGAGTAGAATGATTAAACTCTGCGAATTCACGAGTATCGCTCACAGACTGTAGCTCATCTTAAATTGTTGACGTAACTATTTGAATAATTCTTGTTCCTAGCTCAAATCAATTACTGCAATAAATTCATAGTAAATAGTGTTGGGAAAAAACCGTGCGAAATAATGATCTAATTTTGGTACCGTAAAATTTAATTACATTAATAAAAATTGTTGGTGTTGGGAGCTAGTTGCCTAATGTGCGCCCAGTGTCAGTGGCGGGCGTAGGACTTGAAACGTTTGAAATTCTCATATGGTAACTAACCCCCTGGTTGGTAGATGTACAGCCCAGCTATGTCTGAACACAGAAAAATAATTATTTCGTACACGACCAAATAACAACGTTAATAATACTGTAACATCTAATTTGCAGACAACATATTACAATAGGGTTGTGATGCCTATACTATTACTACAACATAAATAAACGAAATTTTACCTTTGATACCAATCTCGCCTTTGGGTCCCTGAGGTCCGGTCTTTCCCGTCGCACCAATGGCACCGCGTTTACCTCGTGGACCTTCCTCCCCTTTGTCTCCGCGTTCGCCTGTGGGCCCAGGATCGCCTTTCTCACCTGGCGGGCCCTGAGGACCCTCAACGATCTGTACTTTGCCATCCGCTGCATTCACCTGAACCACCTGACCAGCGTCGCCTGTGGATACCCAAACGCACAACGTATGTATTTACAATAAAAAAAACTACATAGCTATGTATTGTCAGTGAGGCGCGTACAAAACAGATGATCATTAAAGCCAAATGGCTAAAGTGAACATCTTCCTACAATCACTAGGATCCTTCTTATTGTCTGCAAAAATAGCTCACATACCTTCGAACAGAAAGCAAGAGAAAGAAATAAGAGTTAGCCTTGCTCCCACGACCAAGAAAACAGAATTCCTTTTATGACATATTCATTTCCAATAGTAGAAAAGGTCTATGCCTGCAAGGGTAACTGCAAGAGAAAAGCACCTCCTGAGAAATCAACAAGACTTTTATTTTTTTACAGGTCCTTGAAACCAAGGCTCATTACTTTTTACGGCTAATAGGACGACATTTAGTCTATTAAGTGAGCGCTGTTTTCGTTACCTGACATGAAAGGACAAGAAGTGAACGTTTGCTATAAGGCTCAATGCTTTACTTATTTGAATAGTATCTTCTATAGGCTATGTTTCTGGACAATTGGTAAATAGCAAATCTTTGTAGAGAAGCTATATCCTTTGCCAAAGCTGGAAACATTCAAAGATCATAAAAGCACACAGTGAACACGCTATGAGGAATCATTTATGTGTTACCTTTTTGTCCAGTAGGGCCAGGCGGCCCTTGAGAACCATCACGGCCATCCTTACCAGGAAGTCCGTCTTCGCCATCCCTACCAGGCTCTCCAGGAGGTCCCTGAGGTCCTGGCTCACCCTGAGGGCCCAGCGCACCATGAGACCCTGCAAGAACACAGCAAAATGACAAACACAGTTTATTTAGTTTAAGAAGTCTTTGGCTCATCCATGTTTGACCAGCGTAATTTGTTAACTGTTTCTTTCCTATCCAACAAATATAAATAGGTGTACAGTTTAACAAGTTCACTACGCAATAGCCTTGTTTTTATCGATGTAAAGAAATTTTCATACATATTGACTACTATAGCTGTTATTGGTTCGTCTTCTGATAAATTTTGCTTAAACATTAACATACCGAGAAGACAATATATTGCTCCGTTACACTGTGTATACCTTTTGTATTGATAACCTAAGATGAAACCTCTCTATTTTGAGTCAGGTCGCTGCACATAAAATCGTCATCAGAGCGTTAACCTGAGCTTTGTGCAGTACAAACAATGGCTAGTCTTTATTAACGAATTAGCCTTGACTAGTTAACCGATTGCCAAATTAAAGGGCCTTTGATAATAGTCTTGGCCAAGCTAAGTCCTGGCTAAAATTTTTCCCTCACAGACCCAACGTATCACATGATGTCTACCTAAACCATTCATTAAATATTCTTATTGACTTAAAGTGAAGAAAACAACTGCGGATTTGTTTATACATTTTTCAGAAATAATTTATCTTCAAGTTGTTATTTGTAACTGAATGAACTCAATGGGTCGTCGAATAATTTGATGCATAGTTAATCAGATGTAGATATGGCAAAATGTCTTTTAGATATCACATCTATTAAGGGCTCATAGGGTCTGTACACGTAAATGAGGCATTTCATAATGAAGATTTTCTGTTTTTTAGTGCAAGTCATCACGGTATGTTAAAATTTGTTGTTTTCTCGATTTCCTCCTATTATGCCTTTCAATTCCCTTCTACTCTGACCGTACATTTTATGAATGCTCGACAACCCAACGGTCAAAGGTCTTTCTCGTTTTTGCCCAATATCGCACGTATCACAGAAAATTGACTGCACGGGAAACAAATTCATTTACTCGAAAGAGTTATAGACTCAGCATTGGAGCCGTTTATAAACTATAATTATTTACTGGCAGGGTGAAAGGTACATAAGCCGCGACGGCTTATGTCAATATCGCATAGACGGGCGTCTGATAAACATTCCCTAATCCTTTGTTTGAGTGCCGAGTTTATAAGAAGCAGTATACAGGATAGTACCAGGTCGAAAAAAATATGGATAAGATGCCTTGGTTTGGTTGGCTAAAGGTCGATTCATGGCCGGGCTCGGGGGGCATATTCGCCCGCCTATCTGGCATTTTCAAACCGAGATTTGTACGTGCACTTTCTATTCTGCCAGGCGCTTTGCAGTCAGTGACTTCTTACTGTGATCGAATTTCGTCTTTTTCGAAGGTAAAATGAGGTTCATACTGAGAGATCGCTCGGCTACCATTAGGAAAATCGCAGAGGAGTTAGACATCTCACGAGGATCATGTTGGATCATTCCGAAGACTATCTAAGGACGAGAAGCAAGGATAGTTCCGAAGGATCAAGGTTTCGAGAAAGCGACAGATTTGTCAACGGGTGAAAAAGGAATCAGGGCGTCATTTCAGGTGATGATACAAGCACAATCATCTCGGTATCGTCAAAAACAGGCCAAGGCTAGATTCACCGCATTTTTCTATTACCGAAAGTTGCGCGCTATGGATTCACATACTGGATTGAAACAAGATATGAATTGTTTCGCTACGATGATGCACGGGTTAATAATCGTTATTTGTGTTGCGTTTTTTTTTTACAGAAAAAAAACTCGACTTTTGTTCTGTGTTGATCTCCATGCTTTCCAGATCTAGCCCTTCAGAGATTTTCCTTCTTACCAAAGTTTAAAAAAGCTTAGGTCTCAACAATATAACTCTGGCATTCGGGCAGAGTACAGACATTTTGGAAAAAGAACGTTACTCTTAATTAAGATTAACAAAGATCAGTACGTTACTTCATAATGCACAAAAGTATAGTAATTTGTTGCAATGATTTTTTTTCATCAGGCGTCTAGTATTAATCTGTATGTCTGTTACAGTACAGCTCCCTTAAAATGTAACAGCAAAATTAAAAAAAAAAAACAGGAAATACTCTAATTTTCGCTTTTGGCAATAAACAACCATTGACGTGCATCATCACGGGACTTTTCATCACACCAATCCTAGTAACAACACGAAACAATAATACAGAAACTAAATGAAGACTCGAGAGATCTTCGTCAGCCTACGGATCATCATGCTACGAATTAATTTAGGTACGACTATTTAAAATATATGCAACATATGCCGATTGTTAGTGTCAACTATCCTATTAATAGGGTCCTCGGTCCGTTAATTAAGTGATATTAATCGTTATTCACTAATATTGATATTGCACATAAAAATAGGCCTTCCTGTCCTATATAGGGTATATATGCCTGGATTTTCAAGTCGATCCTTGAAAGCCTTTCTTATTAACGACCATCCGTTTGCAGTCGACGCAATCGCTAATAATACAAACTTTATTTCTATCTACTGTTGTTTGATCTTCTATATACGCCTATCGTGTTCCATGTCACGAAGGCGATCGTACCTAGTTTCCAGGGAGAATTACAGTAGATCAAAAGAACCAAGTCTCACACATATCACGATACGTCGCTCAGATGTCACAGAGTAACTCAGAGTTTCTCCGCCTTTTGCCTTTGACATTGACGTCGCTGTTCCCCCTCAAGATTGCTGTACTCACTGGTTAAATTACTCCGATGCCTCGTATAACACTAACCATGTCACGCTGACTCACTTCCCCATAATTACGTTCTCCTATGAAGGGTCTTTCAAACGAAACTTGTCCCGCTTTCTACAAGCAACTTAGCACTCGAATTGATCCGCTGTCTCAATGGTGGAATAGCAGAAACATGGGTAACCGTTATAGGAGTCCTATTGTCCATGTCAGATCAATGGACTAATCTACGGTTACGCTGTTTACATCTGGCGTCTTAGAAATAGTTTTATCTTATCACATTCCCTTTCACCACAGTAAGGCTTAATAATGAGAAACGAGCACAAGTACGCTGGGCGACGAGTATATTGTCCTATACTCTCCTGGAAGGTGTCCCCCTTGAAAAACGCAAGGAGAGCAACCCCCGGCTCAATCTCGTCTATCACTTGTGCGAAGCTTAGAGAGCATTCAGGGGCCACTGTACACCCGGTTTTCGTTTCTTTTTGCGGTTGTTCTCACAGTTGGCAATTGCGGCTTTTCTACAGGCACGTTATAAATCACTTCCAAATCCTATAAACCAAATGTATCATGGCTGATTTCAATTAAAATTTTTTAGTTAATACCTGTTTAACGAAGATCTGTAGCATAGCATACCCAGCACCAATGTAAGCACGCCAATAAAAGAATATGATTTCGCTATCAGAAAATACATTAACCTAAATAATACACTAGTTAGAATTTTCGCCCAGAAGGATATAGACCAAAATATGATTATTTCAACGTTGACCATACTTCTATGCCGATTACGCAGTTTATTTACAGTAAGACTACGGCTGATTACGCAATGACCTCAAATCCTTTGGAGCCCAACAACTCCTATAACTGAAAGTCTATTAAATTTGTCTGATGGCAATGCGGCTCCAACTTGGAATCAATCTGTGTAGCCTCAAAAAACGGCTCTTTGATCGCCTAGGTTTTTTCCATTGCAGATATCCAAATGCACAGTCCTGAACTGAGAAAGTCAAATGAAAACATCATTTTTTTTTTCTTTCTTTTCCGTAGTCCATCTTGCAAAACCAGTCCATTCAGTAATATCTACCCAGTTACAAACCGGCGGCTGCCGTTTCTGAACGACAAAAAGAACGATTCCACATTATGCAGGTCACCTTGGACCTAGCTGCTTAGTCTTGCATGCTAAACGAAAAACTCTGTATCTTCTCTTATCTGAATCGTTCTCAAGCTGAATCAGGACACCTCAAGCTGAATCAGGACACACAGCTTAGAAAGTTTCAATTCGACTTCTTTTCCTTCCAGAAGGAGAGTTTCCTTCCAAATGCACTTTTTTAGCACACAACGGAAGTAATGTGGTAAGCTTTGTAATTTGTAAATAGAATTAAGGAAAATCTTCCCTATAATATATGTTCTTAACGGTCTCTGTTATCGGTAGATTTGCCGAATATATGATTACTATCGGCAAGGTTTACGTCATAATCAGTAGCCCATTCAAACAAGAATTATATCGTTCAATCCATTTGATGCTCGATAACAGGGTTTTAACCGATTCCTAGTTGGCATTTCAGCCATTTTAACAAGTGGCGCTTCACTGCAAGCGGTAGAAATAAAGTCCGGTAGAAATTCTCATCAAGTCCAATGCCTATTCTTTCTTTAACTATGACGAATATGTTTCGACTTAAACTCTCTGATGTATGTTTTTTGGGTCCCGGTCCCTGCAACAAACCATTAAGTTCGCTTATCGCTACATGCTATATAGCACCACATTTACCTAGATGCTGGAAACTTACAATTGATCGAGAAGTCTTTCAACCCACACGACGACAATTTAACGAAAAAGACAAAATGAGTTTCTAACTACAAATCCTTTATATGTGGTCTTGACGTAATCAAGGTTACGCACACGAATCGGGCACGGCATTACAAAGGCTAAGACTTACAAATTATCATCCGTTTCCTAGATCATCGCTGACACTATTTCTTTTCACCGTAGCCTGCACTACGGTCTTCACCATGGCCTCTTTCTAATTCAATTACAAGGGTTAAGACGTCAGTGTCCGGTCGCTAGCCATCATCAGTCGACGGAGGTTATTAGGCTTCAGCAGCCTTAACCCGTCTGTCGATTTAGTCGACATTAGCTGGCCTCAGCGGATCAGGGGTTTGGTTTCATATCAGGCTTTCGAAACGGCTGGATGCTCTTCTGGAGGCAGTTCGTTTCACGGTTCACCCTGCTCTCCCTAACTGGTCAGGGTATTGGAGGAGCTTGATCTAGAGAAGTAGAAAATCTTGTTTATAATGCAGAATGTTAC